TTGATGCTTGTTTATAGACCACTCTCTCCAGTCCCCCTGTCCGCCAGGTCCATCAGGGCTACTGTGAGGGCAGCAAGGCCTCCTCGTCAGTGGGTGACAGGCAGGGGCAGCACCAGTTACGAATGCGCATTCAACACGGTCTCTAGTGTCTTCTTGACCACAGGATCTTCAGGAAAGAAAGAAGAAAATAGAAAAAGCAACCCACTTCTCTCATTTTTTTTTTCTCTTTTAAGGACACAGGAAGATAGGGCTAGGTATGTGTTCAGGTGTGAACTCATCTCCTGAGGTGGCCAGAGGACGAGACAAGGGAAGAAATGTGAACCTGAGAGTGAGGCAAGGACAGGTGAGGCATGATGCAAACAGTTTAGACAACGTGAAGAGTGAAGCAGCAGAGTCACTGCACATGAGCCTAGCCCTTTATGATGCTAGACCATAGGTTCCCAAACTGTTGTGGAGGACCACTCCCTTTTCAGAAAAAAAAAAAAAACCAAACAAAAACCTGATCCAGTACTTCCCCTGGTGGTTAAAAACTGTACAACAGCCCATAGTCCAGGATAAAGTGTAGGCATGTGCTTGTGCAGACCCCTTGGATCCTCCCAGTGCTCTGCAAGGGGTGGGGTGGAGGGGAGAAGAGATGGGACAGACAGTACTGCCCAGTTCGGGGTTTCCCCTTAGAGAACATGGTGGACACTATTCAGAAATGCCCACATGCATGACAGATACTAAATGGAAAGTCAGAACCATGGAGGAGGAAAATTTAATTCCCATCACAGGGAATAATATTCAAAGAAAAAAAAATGTGTGGCAAGTATGAGGGGGCTTCAAAAAATCTGTGGGAAAACGGAATGGAAATTGAGGTTGAGCTGTGTCCAGAAATGAACCTTGAGAGAATGAACTCTGTGAGAGTTCCTAACACAAGTTCACTTGAACATGACTGATCTGTCCAGGACAAAAAGCTCTGCATAGCAGAGTCCAATGCACACTAAGTTACACATGACTGTACGTGCTGGTTTTATCCTACTGTTACACAAACACGTGGGGCAGTTGGTGAGCTCTGCTTGAGCAAACCTGTGTGCTTTGCTCGGCAGGACCAATGGCCGCCCTTGCCAACGGCGCCCTCGATCTGGCTGGGATGGTGCACTGGCGCCCGGTTCTACAGGTGAAGGGAATGAAAGGAAGTCAGCTCCAGCTCCCTTCCCTGGTGGGTAAGATCCCCTGCAGGCACAAGAAGATCACCCAGGTCACTTGACAGCAAGGTTTTTAAAAAATTCAGGTATTGATAAAAAAGAATACAAGTCTTTGGAAATGGATTTTGAAATGTACTTGAGAATGTGAATTAGGGGATGACTGTTTTCGGTGATAGTGTAAATTCAAAATCTTACAAGTGAATTTAGAAATTATAAAATTATAATTGTAAATTACCTAAGAAATATCATGGTCAAATTTTAAAAGGAGCATGATAAAAAAAAGGTCCTGGAATACTTCTTACTCAGGGAACGATGCTGCAGATAGGAAAAGAACACATATTTTTAATTTACCAATGCCCTAAAAATCTCAATGAAATTTAATCAACAACTGTGCTCAAGATCTTGGTCACTCTTTCACTGTAACTAGCCTATCAAGTTTCTTAAACACATTCAATTAATGTGGAACATGAGAGAGTCAGCTTAATAGGCTATAATGTAACTAAGAGTGCGGTAAAGGGACACATAAGAAAGAGAAAGTTCTAGTAGAATTACAGTAACATTTTAGTGTATTTTAACATGTATATAATTTCCAGATACTTAGAAAAAATTAAAAATGAATACAAATACACATCACTTACCAGCCACAAAATGTTCTATGCAATAAGACGTTATGTGAACACCATATTATATAGAGGCAGTCCCCGTACAATGGATGATTAAATCACTGTAAAGCCTATTATAATGAAACCTTATGGGAGCCTATGGGACAGAGGCAGACAGCTGTATTCACTGGACACAAGCAGTCAGCTTGGCCGAGTGTGTGGCACTGGGGGGCGGGTAGGGGTGGGTGTCTAGGTGCAGAGGGGCTTGCACAGGGGCATGGAGAGGTGAGTGCCAGGAGGAAGGCTAGCAGTGGCATCCCTGGCTGATGTAGCCAATTCCGGATGACGTGCCGTTTCTGTGAAGCGCGGCAGGCAGCAGTGTGGGCCGAGGGGCCGGCAGGTGAGGGAAGGCAGCAGGACACAGCGCTGTAGGGCTGCAATGCTCAATGCCGCGCGGGAGCCCAGTGTGGGATTTTAAAACTATTTATGGGGAATAATAAACAGAAGGTGAGCTGAAGTCCCTTAGATTAGAACAGTGGTTCTCAACCTGTGGATCATGACAGTAGCATAATGACAGTGATGAAGTAGCAACAAAAATAATGTTATGGTTGGGGGTCACCACCACGTGAGGAACTGTATGAAAGGGTGGCGGCCTTAGAAGGGGGAGACCCCCTGCGTGAGGAGGAAATGACAAAAGACCTTGCTTTTGCTCCAGCAGGCCAGGGCAGTTCCAGCTAAGGAAGATGTCGGGGCTCCACGAAGCAAGCTGGTTACTTGCTAACTCCATTGTGGCACATAAAGAACCCCATGCCACCGGTGAATTACGGCTCATGGAGGCTCTGCAGGGCCAAGGAGAACTGCCCTGTAAAGTTTCCAAGGCTGTAAATCTTTATGGAAGCCAACTGCTGAGTCTTTCTCTCACAGAGTGAACGATTGGTGGGTTTGAGCCACTGACCTTTTGATTAGCGGGGGATGGCCTTACCTCTGCACCACCAGAGCTCCTTAGTATTGAGGCATTGTAGATCATTTCATATGAGACCCAAATCAGCCTGCCAGTTCATGCTGGAGACCATTTCCCGAGACTGCTGGCACAGGAACCAGGGCAGTCCCTCTCCTGTTTGGTGCACGTGAGTTTAAGGAATCCGGCCCCAGAATCACTGTTTCCATCCGCACATGAGGGGCTCAGTCTTATTCTAAACTGCCAGAGCTTTGAGCTTTTCCAGAAACCTGTTTGTTCTTCAGATTTCTACATCCCCCTTTGTGACTAAATTCTTCCTCTATTGTTCTTAGCACCCCACTGCCCTACCCTCTCAATTCCGCCAACAAACAGACCTTCTAGCTAACTACTCTGACCAGCTGTACAAAACGCCACATGGACGTCGGGTGCCACAGCCTGGGACCTCATGAAGCGTCTCCTGATTGCCAGCACAGGGCTGTTGGGCACCTAGGGCTGCCGTGTTGTTAACAGCGCAGCCATGCTTAATACTGTGAAATACGACCTGTCTCCTCCTCTCCCCTCCTCCCTCCTGAGCGGTGATAAATTTCCGAGCACGCTCAGCAGAATTGGATTGTGTTCTGCACAGTGCGCATGTTCATCACCCCAACTCCCCCCAAGAACGCAGACAAGTGGAATGAACTGCTGAGGCTTCAAAATCCCACTTCCTCAGAATGTCCTGATTTTATTAGCCAGTGACTATCAAAAGGAGTGTTATATTTGCCATTTGCCTTCGTCACCGAAGCCCTGTGCCGGACAGCACGGGCGTGGCTGGTGCCCTGGCTAAGCCTGGCCAGCTGTGTGCTGCTGCAGCACCAGCGACACGGCCTTGCAGTCTGTCACCTCTGCCGGCAGGCAGCCATCCTGGTCGCGGAGCGTGGGGTCGGCGCCAGACTTCAGCAGCAGCTCCACAATGTCCAAAAACTCACAGGCGGCAGCTGAAAGGGACAGGGACAGACATGAAAACGAGTGTACGTAAGCGAGACAAAGAAAATACAGCAGTTGGGGACCCTGCAGAGGGGCAACACGGCAGGGGCTGAAGGAGGACCCAGACTCGTCATCCAATCATCTCTCCATTAGCTTTGTATGCTTCGTAAGAATAACACATGCCACTACTGAGGGTCCCAGGCTTAACCCAACCTAACTAACTAACTAACTAACTAACTAACTAACTAACTAACTAACTAACTAACTAACCAACCAACCAACCCACTGCTAGACACTTGATTGTAACTCATAGCAACCTTACATCCCACAGGGCAGAGAATCGCTCCCATGGTTTCCACGGCTGAACATCTTCAAGGAAGTAGATTGCCACGCCTTTCTCCTGCCAAGCGGCTGATGGGTTTGAACTGCTGACCTTTTGGTTACCAGCCCAACATTTAACCCCCTCTACGAACAGGACTCCTTAGCACCAGGCTTAGAGGGGGACAAAAGACCTATGGATCTCAAGGCTTCTTACAAAGAGGCATCCGCAACAGATAAGCAGGCCAAAGGAATGGAACAGAGAGCCATCTATTTTTTGCACATATCTGGAAATTAGACTTAAGACAAAGCTGGCATTGCACATCATCGAAGAGTCAAATATCTGTGAATTAGATGGTACTGAGCTAATGATGTACAAGGCAGAAAAAGACATGCGACAGTCAAGGGCGAGATGAGTAACCGCTGGGCAATCAGGGAAGATAAAAACAAACCCGGAGCTGCCATGTCCTGCCCACTAGCTGGGGCATGACAGCCTCAGCCGAGCACAGGCTCTGAGGGGCCCTCGGGAAGCTGGGCACTCTCTCCCACCCAGCAGCTGGACTCTGAGCAATGGTCTGCTGCCACACTCCAGGAACTCTCTGCAAACATGTCCACAGCAGGTGCGCTTGTAAGTGCCCACGGGTGTAAACAACCAAATGCCCACCAACGGTATCATGGGCAGATGCAACACTGTGTACACCAAGCAATTCTGTACAGTACCAGAAACCAATGAACTATGACGCTTCACACGGCAACACAGCGCCGAAACTCAAGGCTGAAGGAAGAGAACAAGGCAAAAGAATGCACACAACATGACTCCATTTAAACAAAACAAAAACACCAGAGAAAGTTAAGCATCATTGTTCAGAGACACACATATGAAGTGAAACTAGAAACAAGATAAACCCAAACTGGGAGCAAGGCACTTTCTGGGGGGGCGAGAGGAGGCCAGGCCGTTACCAGGAACCCACAGAGCACCTCAGAGAGGTTGGTGGCAGAGAGGGGCGGGGCTCGTTTTTTAATGTTATAATTTAAATTCTTCACAGACACGTTATAGTGCATTATATTACACGACAACCACAACAGAGGGTTAAGGGAAAATGGGGAAGAAAGAACTATGTGGAACTTGACTGAATGATCATTTTACTGAGCGCAAACTACACTGTCATACCATGATACAAACTAGAAAAGTCTTGGGAATTTACTATAAATGTACTTAGGCCAACATGTATTTAATCAATTCAAATGCAAAAGAATAGATAAGTGCCATGGCAGAGATACTCAAGTAAGCAGAACAAACAAACGAACAAACAAAAACAACAACTCTACAGGTGGGATGGGGCTGGGGTGTATGCATGGATGACATCAACGAGGGACCACAAAAAAGCAAAAACAAACAAACAAACAACCCCACCCCCCAGAAAAACCCCCCAAACCCACAACTGTTAAGCAGGCGGCCTGTAAACTAAGCTTTGAAGGATAGGTGGAATTCCAGGTGAACTAAGACTGAGAGGCACTGCAGAGTGAAGCTACCACACAGATGCCAGGCGAGCACAGGAACCGCTGAGAACTGGCGTGGCTCAGAGAAGCAACACATAGAGTTGCAGGTAGAGACTGAAGTCAAATTATGCAGGGCCTTGGCAGCATGCTGAGAAATTTGGGTTTTATCAAGTGAGCCTCAGGCATTTATAACAGAGGAAGTGGCATAATTTGTCTCTGTTAGGATGCTAATTCTATACAGTGACATGGAAAGTCACGGTGGACAGCTAGGAGCTTGTCCTTCAGGGAAGATGCAAGGAGGGCTTGGAGCCGGTAGGTAAATAAAGGAACCCTTGTGGTGCTGTGGGTTATATGTTGGGGTGCTAACCACAAGGTGGGCAGTTCAAACCCACCAGCCATTCTGTGGGTAAAAAACGAGGCTGTCTGCTCCCAAAAGATTTACCGCCCCAGAAATCCTATAGAGGGCCCAACTCTAAGTTAGAATGGACTCAGTGGCAGTGGGTTTGGTTTTTGAAACAACGAGCCCTGGGGGTGAGCCCAGGAGCCGCTCTGCACGAGGAAGATGGGGCAGTCTGCTTCCACCATTGTTACCGTTTTGGAAACCCTATGGGTCAGTTCCATTCTGTCCAGGAACCAACTCCCCTTTATTATTGAGAGAGCCACTGAAACCCAAGAAGGCAGGGTCAAGAGGTGAGGGGGAGGCAGGCAAAAGAACACGTCATTTCTAGCCTGAGAGAAGATGAAGATAGATGTTGGTGACATGTCCAAAAATCAGGAACCAGTGAAGGAAGAACAGCTTTCGGGGGGTGGGGAGAAAGATGTAGAAAATTATGGTGGGGTTGGGGGTGGAGAAGAGTGGTCTTGGCTGAGACATGGTGACTAAGTGGTGCTAAGTTATTGAGAAGCTGATATGTTGTTAAGTGAAAGTTCAATCTGAGAAGAAAGCACAGCGAGAAACAAACATGCTGCACACCTCACTGTCTCTAGGGCTAGTGTATGGCTTTCTCAAGCTGTGTCTTGGACTCAGAATTTTTGGTACCTTTTCTTCTGGATACTTGGTTAGATACAGTTCTATTGCATAACCACTCTGGCCAAAGAGCTACCTCCCAGGATGAAGGAATGTTTGAAAGAGACATGGATTACTGAAAAGTTCTTAAAAGCAGCTTTAAAAATTAAATTGATCTATTTCTTACAATGATTTACATTCACCCACTGCAGATTGTGCCACTTACTATCTATAGGGAAGGCTCCCTCCTTTCCCCCAATTTTCTTCTTTCAGAAAGATGATGAATCTTGACAACTATATCTACTTATAAAACTACCTCCACAATCAAGATACACCTTGCTGTTACTGTGCTGTCAAGTGCTGTCGAGCCCTTTCCAAGCCCTAGCTAAACGAAACACTGCTAGGTCCTGTGCCACCCTCACAATTATTGCTATGTTTGAACTCATTTTGCAGCCATGATGTCAATTGGTCCCATTGAGGGCCTCCCGCTTTTTCACCAACTCTGTTCCAGTAAGTATGATGTCCTTTTTTAGGGCTGGTCTCGGGAGAGCCTGGCCAAAGTACGTGAGAGGAAGTCTCAGCACCACCCTCAATTCTAAGGAACATTCTGCTGTATTTCCACCAAGACAAACTTGTTTGTTCTTCTGGCAGTCCTTTTACTATTCTTCCCTAGCACCGTAACCTAAATAAATGAATCCATTCTTCTGTGTTCTTGCTTATTCACTGCCCACCTTTCATATGCATACAAGGTGTTTCAAAATCCCACGGCTTATGAGTCAGGCACATCTTAGTTCTCAGAGTGACATCATTGCTTTTCACTATTTTAAAGAGGTCTTGTGCAGCAGACTTAGTGTCATTGTTGGGCAAACAATGAACTGCTAACTGCAAGTCAGAGGTTCAAAACCCCCAGCCACTCCTTGGGAGAAAGATGAGGCTGTAGATAAAGGAGCTCGTGTGGTGCTGTGGGTTATGTATTGCTCCCTAAAAATTTATAGTCTCTGAAACCCTATAGGTCACTTGAGTTAGAATCCATTCAATGGTCTTGGGTTTAAGGTACACCATAGCAGTATCCTTGTAAGTTGTGCTCAACATCACAACAGTTTCTGTGGCATTTTCCCCAAGCAGGAAACAAAATCTTACAGCCACACAGTATTATCTTAAATCAGCCATCACAAAAAACGAGGTTTAAGTGAGACTGTTATGAAAAAATTCACTGTGACCAGAGAGAACCTTCCCAGGTGACACCACTGGGTGCACTAACTCAGAGCGGGTTGCTTGATGTTCACCTAGCGGGAAAAATGCATACTACTGTAAGCTCTGCCCTGCCCAGTGCAATTCCATTTATTTGGGGAGTGGGGGTGGGTGGCCCCTCATACGTTTGGTAGTAATTGAGGTCCCTGTTTTATGGACCCCATGTGTAGCTAAAAAGCAAGCTTGGACTGTATTTCACTGCCGGGCAGGACTTTTCAAACTGTCGGTGAGAGGGTGAGGTGATGCAGTCATCCTCATTTGATGATAATTCTAAGTTTCCCATAACAACATGGTCTTTGGAATCTAGCTATGCTGCTAAGTGAAGAGGGGGATGTATTTCCATTCCCTTAAAATATTCCTCTTTGCATTTAGTCTCCTCCTGGTACCCTGGCAACCACTGCTGTCATTTCTGTCCCTTTAATTTTGCCTTTTCCCGAGCTGGACATCATGGAACACAGAGCTTTTTGTGTCTGGCTTCTTTCAGTCAGCATAATTCCCTTGAGAGTCTTCTATGTTACTGCAAGTATCAATATTTTTCTATGCTTATTTTTGAATAGCATTCCACTGAATGGGTATACACGGTCATCTGGATTGCAGCCAGTTTTCGGTTATTATGAATAAAGTATCCTAGGAACACAGGTCTTTGTGTGGATCTGCTTTATGTTTCCAGGCTTCTTGTGTAAACATGTAGGTGTAGGACTGCCGAGTCACATGGGAAGTGCATGCTTAGCTTTATAGGACACTGACTAATGTCTCCAAAGTTTGCATTCCTACCAGTGCACATGCATTCCAGTTGCTCTGCATCCTTATCAATTTGTTATCATCATTTTTAAAAAAGCCATTTTACTTGAGACTATAGTGGTTTTCATAATTTTTCCTTTGCATTTTCTTGATATCTAATGAGGATCTTTTGATCTCTCCTTTGGTGTGATGTAT